TGGAAAGCATCCTGTCTGGGTGCAACACAGCGTGTTATTGCAACTGCTGTCCCCAGGGCTGCAAGAAATTACAGAAAGTCGTGAACACAGCCCAGACCATCACAAACCAGCCTTCCATCCATTGACTCCATCTATATTTCCTGCTGCCTCAGGAAAGCCACCAACATAATTAAAGATCCCTCCCACCCTGGTTATACTCTCTTTCACCCTCTTCCGTTGGGTAGAAGATATAACAATTTGAGTATACGTACAAATAGATTCAAGAACAGCTTCTTCCCTGCTGTTATCAGACTTTTGAATGGACCTCTCAAATGTTAATTCTGATCTCTCTCTCTCTGCACCTTCTCTACGACCGTAACACTCTATTGTGCACTCTGTTCTGATGCCCTGATGCACTTTGTATGGTCCGATCTACTTGTATAGCATGCAAAACAACGCCTTTCATTGTATCTCGGTACATGTGACAGCAATAAATCAATCAGTCAATCAATGACCATAGCAATCAGTCTAAATAAGATCACACCACAATCTGCAATCAGACTACAGTCTGCGTAAAAACCACACGACAGCAAGCATTTGACATAAACATCACACCACAACTATCAGTCTACAGTTTACATAGACTACACACTACAGCAATCAGTCTGCAGTCCATAAAAATGGCGCACTACAGCTATCAGTCCACAGTCGACTCAAATCCCATACTGCAGCTATCAGTCTACAGTCTACTCACAACTGTCTGCAGCCTATATAAACACCGCACTACATCAATCAGTCCAAAGCCTGAATAAGCACAACACTATAGCAATCAGTCTACAGTCTTTTTAAACACCAGACTGTAACATTGAGGCTACAGCCTATTTGTACTACACCAATCAATTTACAGTCTTTATAAACTCCACACTACAGCAATCAAAAAGATCCTATATAAACCCAACACTACAGAAACAACCTACAGACTATATAAACACCACAGAACTATAATAAGTTCAGAGAGTCCATTCAAGCACAACACCACTACGGTCAGTATAAAGTCCAGATAAACCCCGCACTTTAACAATCAGTCTAAAGCCAGTATAGACTCCACACGACAGCAATCAGTCTACAGTTGATTCAGACTCACACTACAGCTACCAGTGTGCAGTCTATTTAAATCACACTATAGCAATCAGTCTGCAGTCTATTTAAATCACACTATAGCAATCGGTCTGCAGTCTATTTAAATCACACTATAGCAATCGGTCTGCAGTCTATTTAAATCACACACTACACCTATCAGTCTGCAGTCTATTT